CAGCCAGCTGCCAGCTTGCTATTCAAATTGTTCTTGGGTGTTTCTTGTTTGCTCTGGGTGAGTCATCTCAATCCTTCCTTCTCCTGCCCCTTCACTACTGTCTATTGTGTGTCCATTTCTCCTCCTTAGCCACTGACAATGCTCAGATGCATTTCTCCTCTGGTTTCATCATACCCAACACGTGTCTGAGTTATCTTTTTCTGCAGGAGAGCAATTGAGAGCTGCACTGAAGGAAGGTAAGGACACTTTCTAAAACCCTATCCTATTATGAGTCCTCCCTTGGCTCCACACGAATCAGAGCAAGAGCTTCTGCCTTTCTACCTGGACACCGACTGACATGTCCCCATGTTCACCTCTTTTCCAAGAGGCAGGATAAGGGACAGAGACATACTAAAGAGGATCCAGTCCTTGTCCTGTGGCCACAAGGCAGGCTGGTTTTTGCATGAATTAATGCCTGCTGGGTCCTTCCTCTGCCTCTGGAATATACGCGAGTTTATTTATGTCTTCCCCCAACACCTGCAGAGTGGACATGTCTATAATGAAATGAGATGCAAAGAGAATGAAGTTGATTTTTGCTGACATTTAAGCACAACATATGGCAAGTTTTAGTGAGGAATTGTGTACTTTTTATATTAGTAGACACTGTAACAACAGAGATTGTGATATTCTAGGTTGCTCAATACATTAGAAAGGTCAGGCTTATCCGGCTTCAGCCAGAGTACACAGTAGATCACGGATTTTGTTGTAATTTTCTCTCATAGTGTTCAAAGCTTTTACCACTCTGCCAGGACCAAAACAATGATTTTTGAGAGGGAGAGATAAAGGAGAATTTTACCAAGCCTCTAGCTCATGCTCGGGGCACGCTACAGTTCATATAACTTAAAAAAATTCTAAAACCCACAATTTTCTTTTGGATTATTTTCTGCATTATAATGGAAGCAGTGAAGCATAATTTGGGAAAGGAACTGTTTCAGAGCTGCGTCTGATCTTGAGGCTGGTAGTTCATGTTCCTTTTTAAACCAGTCGGGCTGCATTCCAACTGGTCTGAATGAGCCCCCCTGCAAGGATAAAGCCCTTGAAACTTAATCAAAAAATCTGTATCTAGAAAGGAAGCCTAAGGATAAGAATGAGCTTGCTCCAGTTCCTCTCAACTTCTGTTTTCTTCTCATTTTGAAAAAAGTGTTCTTGCATCAGGATCATCTCTTTTCCCCTCCCAATCCTTGAAAATTGTCTTGTCTCTGAAAATGTTGTCAGAATAGACATCTTCTCAACAACACCTCCCAGGTCTACTGGAGGCTTGCTCCACACTCACAGCTCACTACAGAGACCAGCTTTGTGCTTTTCAGACGTAGACCAAAGGGCACAAATAGGTCCTGCCTGGTGGTTGCACCACTAATAGACAACCATGATTAATACCTGAGAAATACCAAAAACATCCAATGGAGAGACCAAGTCAACATCCGAAGAGATAGTGTAGGGTTCACAGCGGGACGGAGGTCCTCAGTGGTTGACGGTGTCTGATTCTGCCCACTAGGAACAAGCGCGTGGCCAGATCCTGACTGCTCCCCCAGACTTGCGGTTCTCAAGCAAGTCTCTGCACACTGGGAGTCCTCAGCATCTTTTGAAAAGTCGTTTGCTTGCGTGAGGACTTTAGCTGGGTGCCAAAATGGGGCTTGCTGCTTAGCTTTTGGCAGTGCACGTTCAAAATGGTGGTTTTTGTAAACACACTGGTGAAAAAAGACACCAAATGAGAGCCTTGTGAGAGTCACTTATTTTTCCAAAAGCCTCCTTGGCTCCACATTTAATAACTTTAGCTTCAAGAGAAGGTGTTTCAAATGAGAGAAAAATGGATTTGTTCATCTAAACTAGAGTCCTGAGCCATGTGGGAAAAATGTAGCCTTTTCATGTTAGTGACCGAGCTGGAGTTGCTTGGTTATGGAGATCTGGAGCTGCATATGGGTGCAATCAGATGCAATGGTTTCTGCAGCAGCAATTTTTAGATGCAACAGTAGAAGTGAATAGCTGTGACATTACTTGCTTTGCAACTTGAAACTCTGCCAATTTGATACCATTTTGTATGTGTATGTCATCACTTCTGCTGATACTCAGTTCTGTCCATAGGTGGCAGTGACCTTTCACTTTTTCTGTAAAATAGGGCAGAAGCATACATACATATTTATCTTCCTAATTTTGCTACGGGATCTGGGCCAGGACTGCGAGGCTGTGCCATTGACTGAGCTCTGCACCCAGAGGGATGGCCGCAGACTGGTCACCTTTCTTCAGTCAGCCGCTTTGCCCCAGAGCACGCCAAATGTGCAGTTATAATACTGCTTATCCAATGCAAAAATCAGTGCAATACAATAATCAACTACTGTTGCAAGGAGGGAAAAATTCTGAAGACGTATTATGTATGTGCATCGTGGAGGACTGTGTTTGGTGTTTTGGGATCATATTCCAAAAGTGTTTATGTAGCAAGTTTGTCCCATTTTTAGCAAAAATACTCTCCAAGTCTTGTCCAGCTGTTTATGAGACTCAGGGTTCTGGTGAGTGAAAATCTTTAAAATTTCCACATGACCACTCTGTGTTTTATTTCAGTGAGAATTATAAACTTGACTGTAGAAAATGGGAAATCTCTCTTAGAGTAAAATATGCCAGAGATCAGAGCATGTGATCTCTGCTCTGTATCAGTTAAAGATAACTCACTTGACATGAGTAGAGCTGCATCAACAGGAAACTGAAGTAGTTGAGAATCAAGCTACAAATCATTGTCGAAATAAAAAAAAAAAGGAAGGAATTTGCTTCTCTCACTCCCCTCAGATGTGTACTGATTTTACAGCACATGTGAAAAAGGAAGCACGTAACCTGCAAATATTCCAGCCCCTGCTTAAGTTGTCTCCTGGCATAAACCAGGCGTCCTTATGAATGGAAAACAAAAGTAAATCCTCCAGATTCAACCAGGCACTAAATTTACCATCGAGACTAAGCAGTAGGATTTGAATCTTGTTTTATTCTCTTC